GTCGGTGGGCTGGCATGCGTAACACGTGCCCGAGCCATCGGAGCCTGGTGCGTGAAATAACTGTGCTGAGCGGTTCATTTCCATTTTTTGTGCTGTAAACAAGGCGTCGAACACGCTCGTTGCTCACGCGGTGTTCCCACCAGATGTGAGCTAAATTAAGAAAGCACCGGTGGTCGAACGTAACTAGCCTCTTCAGGTCAGCTGCTTTAAGGAGCCAGATTTCACAACCGTACAGTAGGGTCGAACGTACCGCTGCATTGTACACTCTACCCTTCAGGGCAAGAGTGATGTCGTGCCGGCGCCATAAGTGGCGGAGGTTAGCAAAAGCGCCCTGAGCTTTTGCTATACCGGTAAGCCCACATGTACACTGAGTTTGGCTGGGTTATTGATCCACACTGGTTTCTGCTGAGTACTTGTGATCTGTTAAGCATTACTAAAAATCCTTTTTCAACAGAAGCATGCTCAACTAGTCCACTTTGTTCATAATAGCAATGTCCGCGTCCTTATCTGGTCGACTGAGAAGGACCTCATGATCATTGAGCGCAATCACAGAAATACTGGCAGATGAAACCAAGTTTCTGTGGGTCATAGTTGAGAAAGACAAGACAAAACAGGTTGAACCTCAACTTTGCAACCGTCTTAAAAGCTTCGAAATGGTGGATAGATCAACGAAACCACTTATGAACAATTTCAGCTGGTAGGAACGGTTATTCCAAGGCTATATGGGATACCCAAAACGCACAATCCTAACGTCCCCCATCGTCCCTTTTTGGATATGAAAAACTACCCAAATCACTCGATTGCTCTGTGGCTGGTTTTAATTCTTACACCTATTCGAAAGCTAATTATTATGCACAGTGGGAGGGACAGTTTTCGTTTGTGAATATCGTACGTGATGTACACGTTATGAATCTAACCACGTGCTCCTTCGACATTATTTTACTCTTCACCAACGTAACATCAGTTGAGACTATAAACCACATCTGTGAGTATGTGGACGCGAACCACTAATGTTGACATACCCATGATACTCACTAAGGAATTATTGCCCAGATGCGCATTCATTGTTTAGACTCTATTTAATGGCGAATCATACCGGAAGTGCGATGGGTTCCCCACTGTGTCCCTTCCACGCTGATGTCTTCATGGGCATGCTGGAACAGGGAAAGCTAAAGCCAAAGATCTCAAGTCTCCGTTTATATTTCCGTTACGTAGACGACGTTTCCGTATTGCTTCCATCGTCTCAAAGTATCGAGGAACTAACAAGCACGTTCAAAAAAGGCCATCCAGCTATAAAGTTCGCCTGCGAAGTTGATTAAAACAGTCGCTTTCATTTCCTCGATGTCGCCATGAAAACAGTTGATGGGGTGCGCTGCAGTGTTGCGTCTACAGGAAAAATACCTGGACTGGGCAATACACAAACCTTCCACAGCTTTGTGTTACTTAGGGTTGAACGGAACTTGATGAATATCCTAGTGAGCCGAGCTGAACGTATCTGCTAAATCGACGCGCTTCCGAAGGAATTGGAGTGCATTCGCTTAGTGCTAATGGAGAATGGCTATCCGAAGAGCTTCATCAAATCCAACATGGAACATAAGAAAAAACAGCCTGTAGTTTTGACAGTAGAACGGAAGCCAATGTTCCTACAGCTGCCATACAAGGGCGAGATTGCGACGAAACTTCTATCTCATCATCCTTCGTTTGCACTCAGATGCATCTATCCAGCAGCGCTGATACAGATTCAGTTCACTAGTGTGCCGATACTAAAGACCTAACCCGCAAGCCAGCGGAACAATTACGAAGACCGTTAACAGCCATGTGGTTCATTCGCCTTCTTTGTGTTAGTTTGCAGTCCACAGAGAAGTCGGTGGCCAACAAGGTTGTTTATCCGCCCTCCGTTAGACACTCACCCCCCAGTCATAGAAGTGAGTGGTCAGTGATTCTAAAGCCGATCACATTTGCTTTGACACAACACCGTACGAGCTCTTGTGGTATTTGATGAAGAACCAGGTGACCAGCCAGGAATTTCCCACGCTCTGAGACGTTGCCTCTGATTGTCCGCGACTGCTTATCCATCTCGCCTGCAAAGCTGACGAGACTTATTCGCAGTTGCCTCCACAAGGAAGGCGTTCCCCAATCCGTAACTTGGGGGCGCGCCCGATAGTGTACAGCTCCACCACGGTACACAGTAAGCTACCAACCGAGATAGGGCTGCGATGACTGCTAGCACGGTACAGTCAAAATAAACAACCGCTGTTCTTAAACAGGGCGGCGTCATCAAAATACCTTCATCGACACTTGCACTCTCCCCGAGCGGTAATTTGTTTCAATCCATTGATATACGGTTGGCGGCATCCGACTCCGGATTTGCTTTTCACTGTTGCCTCCACAAGTCAGTCACAGGATGCGTGCGCCTACAGAGAGACCAAGGAAGGCTTGAGCTGCACCATCCAGCATTCCATCTAAAAACCCCATATCCAGTGTAAACTCGAAGGAGTAAGACCGGGAGGCACGCGGATTGGAGCCACGTTTCATCAACGGAGTCGTCCCACACTCCTTCACAGGCAAACATAAGCACGCTGTAGTTTGGCAACAAGCGCACCCAAGGCGGTGAGTGCACCGTAGTCCCCTTCAAATTGAGTGCATGGAACCACACTTCGAGCCTAGCACAGCCACAAGGACCGTGCACCCCGTCCCCTCCAGCAACGATTAACTGTCTCCTAGAGCCAGTATGGACGAGGTAGTGGGTAATAGACAGGCAGACACCTTGTCAACATGCACATCAAGCGCAGCCACACTGGGGATGTCAAGCAACAGCCAACCACATGATAGAAATAACCAACAAAATAGGTCAGAAACACCGTACGGATATGCTGCTGAATTAACATATGAAATAAATGGATTATCGAAATAACCGTGATAGATTCAGGATGACAGGAAATTTAATCAAGACACATATGTCAGAAGGAGAAATAATAACCGAAGTTAACCACCTTTAGTTTAAGCGAAATGCGCAAGTTACTAGATTATTCAGGTACACACTAAAATGAGGTAACAAACTAATACTAGGACAAAGTAGCAAACCAATCACTTAAAATAAAAGACTCAAAACACAAACACGCGGTTAGTAAATGGAATGCAACGTACCTACCAACGCTGCGCCGGTTCTGCTTACGGTCTCAGCATTACTGGTCATCGTTTCAATGCTGGCCCTGAGTGGCTTCGCTCGTGGCTCACTAGGCCTGCGTGACTTAGGCACTCTCGACCGCATATTCTACAGCACCATGCGCTCGACGTCGATGGAGTACACTTCTTCGGCGATTGTCGTTTCCGCACTTGCCGCTTCTTCGCGTACATGAGGGCTTTCGCTTGCACCTCGACAACTACCTACGTGATTAGATAGCGCCATACGCCCGGATCAACCGCCTTCGATTCCCATGAGCTGAAATCAATATTAGAACATGTTAGGCTCACTTTGATCGTGTTCTGGTAACTTAACTTCAGTGTTCCCACGCGTCGTTTCCCTGCACTCAGTTGGCCATAAAGCAGCTGTTTCGGTATCTGGGTCGAATGCAAGCAGGCGGCGAACGTGCCCGAGCCACCTCAGGTGCCTCCGTGGAATTATGCGGTTCATTGCATACATCCCACTGCGTCGGAGTACCGTGACTGCAGCTCTGTCACTCCAGCCACTGCGCATAAGACGGCGCAGACACGGCTGATGGAAGCGCTGCAGATGTCGGACATCCTTCTAATAAATCGTCCAGGTTTCTCTACCGCATAGAAGAACGGACGGCACCATAGACTTATATACCATCAGCTTCGTCCAAACCGTGAGGTGGTGGTTGTTCCACATACGGCATTCCAGCTTACCAAAAGCTGTACTCGCCTTCGTTACTCGGTTGTGCCGCTAACTTCATCTACTGCTCGGTTGTTATTAAGCTACCAATGTAGAAAAATCTCGAAGTAGTTTTTAACACTCCGTCAGCGACTCTGGATTTGGAGCCGCCCCACGGACTCCATCCCCGTTGAAGACTAGAAAAGACTAACAGCCTTGCTTGTGTTGAAGGTGAGCCCGAAATTGGCCGCTATCGAAGCCAGAGCACTAGTCATGTGTTGCAACTCATCCGCGCTATTCGCAAACAACGCACAGCCATCAGCGAACAGCAGCATACGGATGGATGTCTCATAGACAATGGTTCTCGCACCGAAACGATGGATTTTCAACAACCCACCATCAATACGGTGCTCCACACGAACATCATAAGCACAAGCCGCAACAAACGCACCAGACTTAATGACATGAAGATAAATATTAAACAGGGCAGGAGCTAAGACACAGCCTTGCTTCACACCAGAGACAACTGCAAAGTCATCCGAGGTCTCTCCACTTAGCTGCACCCTCGCCTGCATACTACCGTGCAGGCATTCAATTAAACTTACAAACTTACTCGGGAAGCCAAACTTACCCAACACCAGCCACAATGATGCGCAGTTCACTGTATCAAATGCCTTGGTGAAATCAACAAAATCGAGTACAATGGCTGGTATCGTTCACTGCACTTCTGCAACTGAGGATCCGCAAACACCGTGTCGATGGTGCTGCGACCCGAACGGAATCCACATTGCTCTTCCGCTACATGCGGTTCCACAACCTGATTGACGAGGCAGTTGAGCAGGATTGGGAAATTCCCTTGCCCACACATCGCATCAAGTTGACGGCACTATAATTCGTGCAACATTGCTCGCCCCCTTTATTGTGCAGATATCCCCTCCATTGGTTTGCTTCTCATATGTCGTAACGCAGTGCACATTGAGTCTGCTTCTGATCTTCTGTGCAGCCGAACCAATATATCATTGCTCATGCACACACCTAACAATTTAATCTTAACCATTCAGCACTTTGACTAAATTATTTATACTTTGTGAAGTCTAGATTAACGAAACGACTGACTTGAATAAACGCAAACGCATACGTCACTTTTCCCCTTTGTGTACCGTAGATACCAACATTTGCTCGATATCGTCTGTGGAAGGGCTTCATCCGGTGGCGCAAGGTCATCCGATACGCAAAGATGGATCAGTGTCGCCGACATCTACGTGACAACCTCTACATAGCCAACTCCTCCCTTCGGCCTGCTCTTCTCAACGTTCGTGAAATGTGCTATCGCATCAGCGACATGGGCTTGTGCAAACTTGAGAAAGGAAAAACCTACACACTGCTGGAGTTTTTGACTAATCAGGTTAATCAACTAAACGAAGTGTGCACACGGCTTTCGGAATTCAGAGAGCTGGTTAAAGAGGTGGTGCGAAGCGCCTGTCGGACTTCTCTTCTCGAGGCGGGATTCATGCCCGATGACCATTTCGTGGAGGCCAGCGCAAACCAACTCAGTATGGGTGAGTCCGTGTCAGCTTCTATCAAGACGGTCCAAGGGAATGCGGTCCAAGTTGCTTACTTAAACAATCGCTACCATTCGTTGAATTGTTAAAAACCGTGCTACCATTTTCACGAAACCTCACCAAAAGTATCAGATAACCAATCCTTACTCATCTGTACTTCTTAACTACGAGACACGTTGATAAAGCAAGTTGTATTTCATTAACTAGCTTCGTGTTGTACCGTCGTACACGAGAATGATGTAAGACGCAAGATTTCTGAAGCGATTGGTTCTGTAATAGAGTCAGTCCTAGCTTCAATTTGTGTGTCTAACTTGGCAAGAAAAGTTTAGTCCCCGAGGATTTATGTGACATTTAGTTGGTGAATGGCGAACAAACCGCTTAAACAGCTTAAAATTTAGCAGTCGTTCACACACATAGCAACTCCGGCAATTGGGGTGGTTTACCCTAATTATTCATCCTACTTCCGAAAAATCAGTAGTTTCCAAAATAACGGCATAATATGGTGCTGATTGCTTAATCCTGGGAACCACACGTCCAGCAACATGTCAATTAAGTGAACTGGGCGTGCAGCAGATATACATTGTCTAAGGGAAAGCTTGCTATTCTGTTAGTATTGTCATAATCCCACTCCTTGTTGGATAGATTCTGAACCATCTAGCGCATTCCTAACCCATTTGTTACCTACCAAACTACTCAATCTTTTGCCTGCGGACACTAAAGCCGTTAACTGCACAGCCGTATCACTCTGCCACTGCCTACAACTTGCAATCGCATTGGTCAGACACCCGACAGGATGCGGTAGCTACCAAGCTGGAAAAGGCCCACAGCTGCAGGAGGGACAACTGTGTCTTCCGACTGTATACTGCTTGACCCGAGCCTCTCTAGTTAGACTTCCTGGAAGTCAAACAAGAGACGATGAAATATACCTCATTAACAATGCTATGCTGGGGATATCCTGGATTCCACACAGAACATTAAGGAAGCTTTGCCTGAGAACCTTCCAAGGATGGGCGAATACTTCATAAACATTAAGGTCGCTGTCTTTGCTGGATTTGGCAAATCCCTCAGAACACATGTGGCTGTTGGGATTGCCATCGTTGGAGAATGATACCACGGTAAACAAGTTGGTAAACAGAATTCGTCTGGATAGCTCGATGTTTCGTGGACAGAATGATATGGTCGACTCCAAATGAAGAACTAGCAGCAGGCGGCTGTTTTCACCTGTTCATGCGTCTTTAAGCCGGTCAAGAATGCGTATCTCGAAGGCCGGTCCTTTATCAACAGACGAGTTAATTGGAAGAGGCTTATCGATACAATAATCATGATGTGAGTTACTCGTTCGGTCTACATATCTTCCTAATGGCTTGCGTCCATAAACGACGTCACAATCGTACGTGAAAAGCAGAGACTCTCTTACTTTTGGGTCATTCAAACGAATGGCCAGGGAAGTGAACAGTTGCTGTTAACCAAACAACGAAGGCCGCATACACAGATGATTGTGCAGGAGAGACCAATGGCTTGAGATTTACAAATCACATATGGAACATTCTCAGTGATTCATCAAGAACATCAGTCTGAGGCAAACAATTGTTTTCAATGATTCATCTACGGGCCGCTACAATCATATAAGGTTAGATTACAAAGGGATGGATAGTGATTGGTTCGGGGGTTTGGTTTGAACTGACTCGGTCAATGGTTAGACAGCGAATAGTTCGCCGCTGTCTCACGCACACAGATCGATTGAGGGTTACGTACTCGCAATGCCTGAGCCGATGTCAGGGTGACGGCTAGGCTGATGGATGTTCGGCCAGGGCAGGTATAGAGATTGAACAAACTTTTTCTGCGAGCACAGCTGGGGTTGTAATATGCGGATCGCAATGGCCTATGCAGTGGCGAGCATCCTTAACCGCGTACCTTTCGATTTGCTCATTGGAACCTGATAAATCACAGTAAAGACATTCGGGAGGTTAATCTGGTGACCTGATTCAAATAGATGAGACCAGATACCGCTTGTAAGCACTCCGGTGCCCCCGTCCAACAACCATTTAGGGCCATGTTCCTTAATGCGACGTGACAGTTGACGAGCCGTCCGACCAATGTATGTTGTCCCACAAGTGCACTCAAATCGGTAGATAGCGTAAGCAGAGGTCAGCTTCGGCAGTCTGTCCTTGTTGCATACAGGAATTAGCTGATTCGTGGCGAAGATGCATCGTAACTCTGCAGCCTGAAAGGTGTTCCTTATCGCTTGAAACAGCGGCGAACTATTCGCTGTCTAACCATTGACCGAGTCAGTTCAGACCAAACCCCAGAACCAATCACTATCCATCCCTATGTAATTTAACCTTATATGATTGTAGCGGCCCGTAGATGAATCATTGAAACCAACTGTTTGCCTCAGACTGATTTACAATTCACGTTAGATGCTCTGCCTGTTTCATCCCTGTGCTCCGATTAGCTCGTCCCACTTTTTGTCCGAGGTGCATCGAAATCCTCACCGTGGACCGTAATGAGGATGCTGTTGTTCTAGTGTCAGGCGTGGGAACTGTGTTGTCCCAGTGTCCCAGACACGAGCGACGATGCGCATACGCCAGGGGTCAGACAAGACGTTTACTTAAGTGTGGTGAAGTCTGTCCAAGTTCAAGAAAATAAGTCTTTCGATGACATGTGCACCTAAAGAACTCGGAACGCCTAGCAACGCCTCAACTGTCAACCTTATGTACATCTGTTCTGAGTTTTGCAAAGCTCCCCTAAAGTTTTCATAGGTGTTCCACTTCGTCCAACAGTTGAGGCGAAGTTGGTACTTGCCATGTATGTAGTCATACGAATTTCCGAGGTTAACACATGGACCAATTTCGAAATTCCCGTTTTCATTCATCACGTGTGTTCCTGTAGAAATCCCTAACGATGAGTCGACAAGGCCTATTTAGACGCACGGTCTGAGTTGTGAGAATTAGGGGTGGTGCGTAGCACAAATTGCACTGACGTAACCGTGATCATAATGCAAAATGGCAACCTACAACTTACGAATAGCTGAACAGACCCACAATTAGGTATATGAATATTCGCCACTTTTCAGTTCGACCAGCCTGCTCTCATTCACTTGCGTAATAGGTGGCGCGTTAAAACTAAATACCTGGATATTTGTGTTATGAAGTTCGATGTCCGCAAACACACACAATTCGGTAATGCTACTTTCAGTTCAAGGAAAATATCCCTTTTCGACAACCCTCATCTGGCCATTACATAGCTGAAGCAGGTTGAACCACTGCAGTAAGCCAAGAAAGCTAGTCTAGGGAAAACAAACGGTTCATCGGTTTATGCAGATTCTTAGCCTGATGGTTCTTGGCTGTCTGCTCATGGTGGCCACAAATTTGGTTCTGTATATACGACAATCCAACTTGCTATGGCGACCATCTGTCTATCGCGACCAGCCAATTACATTCTCAACTTTTTCTTCTATGAGTAACGCCCCTATGCATGAACATCTTCATGGCGATCACCTGTCCAGGGCGACCACTTTTGTCGGCCCCTTGAATGATCGCCTTAGACAGCTTTGTCTGTACTAGTAAATACATAGTAGCAATGATGCGTTTGTGAATCAAGTCTTCGCAGGTATCTGTCAAATCGGTGAATCATGAATTCACAGTATGCGCCGGTTATGCGCAAACCGTGAACGGAACGTTTGCCAACGGTTTATTAGCGGATACCTCGGGAAGAAATAGGAGGGACAGTTGACAGTATTCAACACCCAGGGCTTTACACAGTCAAGCGGTGCATGTGAATTAGTCTCACTAACTACCTGCCGACGTCCAACTCTCTGGTATCCCGCTACGTGATAGTATTGCCACAAACGCAGATGCCAGTGACTGGCAGACCTCAGGAACGCACGCACTGAGATCTGTTTGTCTGGTTTGTCCTCAGACTCATCTTCCATACTCAAGCGCATAAGCAGTCGAAATTCTCTAACACGAGCCTAACCTTACATATGCTATCGCTCTTTTCCACCTTGTACATGTTGTGGTTTTCTGACCAACAGAACGAAATCTGTATGACATCGAGGAGTTGGTGGAGGGCTGTAAACTGAGTGCTAAGCGCCTGCATCTTGATCCAATCCAGTACGACATTGATCATCCTCTTGTGGGGCAAGCAATGAAAGCGGTAAATTTGGGACTGCGTCAGATCAAAAACAATCGGGCCAAACTGCAACGACGGACTGAGAAGATGAAGACGCGTAATTTATGCTCGTTATTCTGTTCGGTTCCTACAGTTTCCGTTTGAGGAATCAGTTGTATCAACTATCTTGTTCGAAATGCCCCTCCTCATTTTGCTTGCTTTCTCCTTCGACTCTGCACAGAATCACAAAATCCGGGCACGAGCTATTTGTCCTCTTTGTATGATGCGGAAATCGCCTCGGAAACACCCGAGAAGATGACCTTCACTGAGATGGCAGCCAAGCGCAAATATTGTCAAAGACTGACATGGTGAGAATCCATTTTACATTTTGTTGTCAACTTCCATTAATGACTAAAGAAGTCTGCTAGCAGACAACGCAGTATGGCAGCATGTGAACGTTACAAAGAATATGTGTTTTGGATTATCCATGTTTTGATTTGACCAGCTTTTAAACTTCCACACTTCTATTAAGAGATTAACAGAAGTTGGCTGTAAATGGCCCAGTGTTAGGATGGGGTTCGTTGCTTAATACGCCGTCGCAGTCACAGAAAATCCGGAAGAGTGTCGAAGACTAATGGGACGTATTAGGAGTGCGCATTCATCTCGTATTCGACGGTATTCAAACTCATGTCCGTCCGCATAAAAGGCATCGATTTGAGTCACTGAGCTATTTCTCCTTGACCGATTACAGACGGAGATATAGCGCTCTTCATTCTCTATTGCAGCGTAAACTACTAGCGTGGGTAGCACAAGGTAAATTACCGAGGTGCTGGATTTCCTATTATTAAACCGCTATTCTGCTCATACCATTGTAAGTTGATCATGATTTCTAATTACCATGATGTTGTATCCGTGTTACCACGTACTCTAAGCAGAATCGTCACAGTTGTAACTGGCATAACTTTAGGGATGTACATTAAGTGAAATGAAGGACTTTCACCCATCCGCTTGATCAACTTATTCTGTGGCTCTGATGTCATCCCAAATGGAAGCATTGCTAGCTAATTGGTAGTCGTGGTAGCCGATACCTGCACGACCTACTCCAGTGGGAAAAAGTATAAAAACCATGACAAGGAGCTTATAAAATCAATCATAATAAACATAAACACCTGTAAAACTACTAAAATCACACGTCTTTCATACACCTTAGTAAGATAAACGGTTTCGTTTTCTGGTTGCTAGGCCGCCCCGTCTTGTTTGCATCACCGCGTTCAGTTAACACAGGATGTAGACCGTTTGTCTACCAACGATGCTTGTGGAATGTGTTCCGAATGTGCAGTTCCATGACTCTGTCGAGATACATGACGGCCTTTTGATCTACCAAATCTCTGTCGCAATCATTCAGACCCTAGTGGGTTTGTCCACCACTAACTTCAATGACCATATCACAGTGGCTGCGCCGCAAGCACGGTCACGTTCCAGACATCACTCTTGGACATCGAAGGCACCGTAACACAATAAGGGACCGACGGGCTCGGTAAGTCCGGTCCAATCAAGCCCATACGGACTCACCCATTCGATCGGATATCTCCAACTAAGTTACGGTTTCCCTGTTGTGCTTACCGTATCAATTTGCGTCACCACCACGTCTGGCCGGTTCAGGTTTACTTCCGGCAAACAAATTCGTGTGCGTGTATTTCAGATTTGGCTACGTCACAGCAGCTGAATGTGAGTCCTCACACTATCTTGGATGCTATTTCTCCTGACGCAAAGCAATCGTCGTTTCCTTTGCTCTGTAGATGTGTGTTCAGTCATTTGATATAAATTTCCATTTCACCGGATCAATAGAATGAATCCGACTTGATGTGTTCGCTTTTACCGAGCCATTGAAGTACGAATGCACATGTGTTTCTATGTTCGTGAGATGGTATATCACACGTGATCTTGCTCGACGGATGTGTTGAAAATATGCCCACTCTCCCGAGACCGCCACGTCGACTACTTGTTACAGGAGATGGCTAATCGTTACGTAAGGGAGACGTTGCACACTACTTTTGTGATTGGACTACGTGTCATTGTTAGTTTCATTTTGGAACGGGCTGCGGTCAAATACATACACACATGCTGAAGTAGTGTGAGCCGAACCAGAAGCAATTACGGCTCAAATTCGCTAGCCTTCCGGTTCTATTTCTTGGGGCTTTTTAGGTTCATGTGGACTGTACGGGTGGTTCACCGCAAGCCCTATCCCCATATTCCTTTTGCCGGCGTATGTGTTCCGCGATTATTCTGTCAGGTTGACAAGGGTCGTCGATTGTAGAAACGAATTACACCAACCACAGTTAAATCTACTGTGATGTACACTACCCTCGTTCTGATACACCGCTACCAATCCCGAACAATATACTATTGCTCCTCATTTTAATGCACCCTTCCCACAGTTTCATTCGATTGGCTGACTATCAGATCGTGAGTACGCTTCACACCCTGACAGTCAATTCGGTCTACACTCTGTTGGATTGCCTGTGTGACCACTTGAAGCACACTCCGCCGATTACTGAAATCTCAACGTATCAGATCAAAGTGGATCAATTGACAGAGGCACCGAGTGCAACTGCGCAAATGAAACGCCCGGACAATTATCGTACACCACGGGAACACAGCATCATCAAACTTCCATCGGTAAGTTGTGATCAGAACGCGTCTACAGGATGAACGAAAATCAACACAGGCGATCAATTTAACCAACATAAAGCAACACTTAGTTAACGAGTGGGGGTAAGCTTAATCAGGATCGCTCGGGTAGCCGAGGGATGTAACCTCGGTCGAAGGTAACGTTTAACGGGTTTTTCAAATCCATACATTATCCATCCAAGTCCTGCAAAGGAGAGTTCCTCACAAATGTTAACTTAAAGACAGCTTTGGATTTAAGGAAACGAGGAATGGGGACTTGGAACAGTGACAGTATCTGTGCTGCGGTTCGTACTGTCTCTGACGAATGGAAATGATCTCCGTTGGCCGATATTCCCTTCCATGTCGACTAATGGAATATCCACAATGTTGGACACTTGATGGACCGCATCGCACCACCCGTCCGCTGATAGTGGTTCAGGCGTTAACTTACCGGTCCTAGTTCGTATAGATGCAGTGGCCTCGCGGTGACCCTTGACCATGACAACGAACTGTCGGCTTACTACTGAGACCAGGGGGACAAGAGAATAGATACCAACATCATCATCATAATCATCAACAGTAGTACATCAGCCATTTGAACTGATGCTTCGTTGCCATCCAACTATGAGAACCTATGAAATAAAGAATAAGAAAAGGGAGAGAAGAGGGACTTACCTGAAAACCTTAATGCCGTAACCAAACATTCAGAGTCAAGGCACCTACACCTTGTGTAGACAACCTACCGTCACAAACAGCTGGCTATCATGCAAAGATAAGGCGGCATTGGCGAAACAGCTTCCTTGCGGCTTCCACTGCCACACGTCATAATCAGCCACGTCATAATCGCAGATAACTCAGCACCAAACACACTGTAAACAGGCAATCCGATTAGGAGACGGCAGCAGACGCGCCACTGGTGTCGGTTGCGAGCCGTGTCCTGTAAAGTCTCGAGCCAAACACAAGGCGAGTCACGTAGACTCCAGCTCGGAAGACGAGACGGACCAACGGCACCCAGTTTGATCATCAATAACTTCATTTCCCCATGCCAAGTCAACTTCTGTCCACCTCGAGCTTTGCGCCACCCTACACTCGGTAGACTGAACAAGGCCCTCCTAGGTAAGCGGTGACCAGGCATACGTAGCACGGGTCCGAGCCAACGCAAATTATTCAGTGCTATCTGTTGTTCTAGGGAGCTAGCATGATTATCACTACCTAGTACTCGCCTACGCACATCATCGTTGCGAACACCCTGGTGCCATCCGACACCAGTAATGTTTCGCAGACAACAACGATCAGACTTGAAGGCGCCTCAGCTCTTCAGACCGAAGGCGCCAAGTCTCACTACCATAGAGCAGAACGGTCCTCACAGTGGCCTTGTATACACGGCCTTTTAGACGAAGGGAAAATCCCTTCTGTCGCCAAAGATGCCGCAGATTCAAGAAGGCGGCTCTGGCCTTTGTAATGCTTGAGCTGACATCAGTTTCTGTTCGACCATCGTTGCTGATGAAGCTGCCAAGATAAGTGAATTGATCAACCACTTCGAGTTCCTCGTTAGCAAGGGTTAAGGGGTCGTCAAGTGGCTGGTGGTCCTGCAGCAACACTTGCACGTTGAAGGTGCGAAGTGCATACCTACTAATGGGACTACTTTGGACAAGGATATTCAGGGTTAATTGTGCCAAGGCAACATCGTCGAAAAGCAAGTCGATATCGTCCGCATAATCTAGATCAACTAACCTTTCACCAGGCAGCACTTCAACGCCTAAATCTTGAGATTCCTCAAGTGAACACTCCATGATAGAGTCCACGACGAAATTGAACAGAAATGTAGAAATCGGACAACCCAGACGTCCGCCACTTGTGATCGGAAAGCTATACGATAGGCCACCGTAGACCCTGACGCGGGCTATAGTGTTCGAGTACAGGGCACGTAAGATGTTCCCATATTACTTGAGAACACCTTACCGCGCAAGTGTTTCGAATAAAATCGATCGATCGACTGAATCGACCGTATCCTCGAAATCGTAGAACGCAGATATTGCCGGTATGCAGTATTCGTGGCGCTGCGCTAGCACCTACCGTAAAGTGGATATCTTTGCACGATAGCCAGCTATTTGTGACGGTATGTCGTCTACACAGGGTGTAGGCGCCTTGACTCTGAATTTTTGCTTACGGCATTAAGGTTTTCAGGTAAGTCCCCCTTCTCTCCCTTTTCTTATTCTTTATTTCATAGGTTCTCATAGTTGGATGGCAGCGAAGCATCAGTTCAAATGGCTGATGTACTGCTGATGATGATGATGCCTGTACCTTATGGCTATGTGGTCCGCTTGAGTCCATCGCTGCCCAGCTACATGAGGACACCAAGTGGCACTTCGGCGCCCACTGTGTCTAAAAGCAATGCTACTATGAAAAAACTGGTGCTCCGCACACAGTTGCAGCAGACGCTCGCCGGTGTCAGTCCGTTCGGAGTTAAGCCCATAATTACCACCCAGCTAAGCTTCTGAAGAGCTCAGACGCCGTACTTGTGCGTTCATATCCCCTGCAAGTACTATAATATCTTAACTAGTAGCACTGCGTAGTAGCGCGTTCAGTTCGTGATAAAATGTGTCCTTGACAGCGTTAGAACTGCAGTCCGTGGGAGCATAAGCGGAAATCACAAACAAACAGCGTTTTGTATTGTTTCGTGAATCAACCTTAGCTGATGTCGCCAAACGGGCTGCGCATAGACGGCTGTTCACCGGAATCCAATCAATCAACGATGGCTCAGCCTTGGAGCTTAGAATGATACCTACACCAGCTTGACCCGTGAGTGCTGCCTGGTTGTCTCCGAATGCGTGGAACCAAGAACGAGAGGATAAGCCGGGTACAGTTAATTCAAGAACCCCGTTAAGGTCATTGATCCTAGTTTCGGACACACAACACACGTAACTACCAAATGTGTCCAAGGTGCGTGCGAGGGCAGCCTGTTGACCTGTTTGTCTTAAAGGGCGAACGTTGAACGTCGCCATGGAAACGGGATAGCGTGGCCTTATCAGGGACTGTTGCTGATAGGCGTTCAGTGCGTGTCGCGAGAAAGTGGTTGCAGATAGTTCTACTCCGGTGGTACTTCGGTTGCTGTCAATTAAACTGGGAATAATAGTAGGAAGGTTAGTAATGGGGGTCGTGATGGGAGTAAGAGAAACATGTGGGAAAGAAAGAAGGGAGGCGCCAGCCGTGGCATGTTTTCGCTTATTCGCCCTGCTGTATGCAGCAGATAAGGCGACCCTTGATAATCTGCACGACGACCGATGCAGGATGAAGTTGATGTTTGAAGAAAAAGTCATGGTTGTATGTGGGCTGAGATACTGCCAGGGCGTCCAGACCTAGACAGGAGGATGATTAGGGTCCTCATCCAAAGCCTTTGGCTCAAAAGCCTGTCCGCAAGGCAGCGGAGTAGTGGCAATGATTTAGTTTTACAGAAATGGACGCCATCCCATTTCAAACCCCCAACTTGGAGGACCAGAAGACTGAGTTTGTCTGACTTCTCACCATTGACCAACCTGGTAGGAGTAGCTCTCAAGGTGCCCGGAGGCATCACCCAGTATAGCTCAATGGGTCAATGAGGTACGCAAACCGTCGCACCACGTTAAGGTCCAGTCTCGTTGCGACGGGAGAATAGATATCGGACTATGCACAACGCGGAAAGACCACGTCCTTGGCACTGTAATTAAGTATACGATGACGATCGACCGCTACCAGTGGATCCTTCATAGTACTGAATTTTCGCAACTTGTTGGCCCTGTCCTGCAGCTCTACCTTGAACAGATATATATATATATATATATATATATATATATATATCAAGTAAATTAAATCGAATAGTGCATACAGATATGGTGACATAACTCTTCCCTAAATGAGCGCATGAAAGAAATTGGTTGCTAACAAATCCGCGATAGATTCAGGACGTCAGAAAATATATTTTAACAAAACGCCACAAACGTAAAAATGTTATCGAAGTTAACTACAATTAACTTCAGCGACGTGTGCAAGTTCATAGAAGTTAGTTCAGGTAGGCATTAATATGAGATAAAAAATGCATTATGGCCATACGACAAACCCATCACCTGAAATAAAGAGACTCAGCATGCAAGCACGCGGTTAGTAAATCGAATACAGCGTACCTACAAATGCTGCGCCGGTTCTGCCTACGTTATCAGCAGGACTATTCGTCGTTTTTGTGGTGACCCCAAGTGGCCTCGCTCATGACTCACTATGCCTACCTGACTCAGGCACTCGCGACCGCAAGTGCTACAGCACCATGAGCTCGATGTCAATGGAGTACAACCCATTGGTGCTTGCCACTTCCGCACTTGCCGTTTATCCTCTGCATGTGCGAGAGCTTTCACCTGCACCTCCGCAACTGCGTCCGTGATCAGATCGCGCCGTTCACGCCGATCAACCGCCTTCGATTCCCATGACCTGCAATCAAGATTAGCACGTGATTGGCTCACTTTGATCATGACATGGTAATGAAGCCTCGGTTTCCCCACATATCGCTTCGCCAAACTCAGCTGACCAGATAATAGCCACTTTGGTATCCCATATATATATATATATATATATATATATATATGCATAGAGAGAGTAGTTGGTCAATGAGAGTACCGTTCGCAGACTGCCACAATAAATGAAGGAAAATGGGCCGAATTCAAGAAAACCAGTGGCCTAGTGTGTTGAGTCCCGCAACACATCTCCTGCGTAGTACGAGTTTTACTTTGTTCAGTAGCCTGTTTATTCAAATGCGCTCGCTGTCCTTTGACCCCCAGCTCGGGAAGAGGGGTCTGTAACTCTCTACCGCGGCCAAGTTTGAAGTTGTGCATTGGTACTCTGAGGAAAAGTGTAATATGCGTCCGGTCGTGGGTTCTGAGCGATTCTGGTTCCGGGGCGTACGGGGGTCGTATTAGACCGAGGGGTGCTGAAAGGAAAAGAAGGGAGTTCGTAGGCAGCTGGAAAATCACTTAGTAAGTGTC